TTTTTTTTTTTTGAAGCACATACTCTTAAGTATTATAGTTTAAAATAATTTTTCATTTTCTCATATCAAAATTACGAATTTTCTTTTTTTAAAATTCTCACTCACATTTAAATTTGTAAAAAGTAAGAGAGAAGCTTCTATTACAATAAAAACTTGTTGCTAAAAGTTTCATAAGTATACTAGAATTTTTCAGATTTGTATATAGTCTAGAACAATAAAAAAATTTGCTGCTGTGAACCTGAAACATATAATGATCAAAAATTTCACATTGCCGGTGAAAGATTAATGCAAAAACAGCAAATTTTTTTGAATTATTAAGCATTTTTCGAGCAAAGTGAGTCTTTATGCAATGAAATTGCGACAACGTAATATATAATACATATTTGTATTAACGTTCAGTTATCAACTTTGAAGTGTTTGCACCGCGATTGCAGAGAGGTCAACTGATAGATAGACAGGACAGCATAGTAAATATACAAAATCTCAGATTATTGTATACATACTTGATCAAACATATATTCATAAACGTTTATAATAAACACTTAAAACATGACATAAGATTGCGAATAAGTTTGTTAAAATTTGATAAACTTTGTATAGGAAAAATTAATTCCAAAAAAAAACACTGTAATTTTTTAATTAAACTATTTATTTGAAAGATCGCAACAACTCAAATAAATTATTTGAATGTTTCTTTCGATAAATTTTAATTCAAAAAAATTATTTGTCAAAAAAAAATATTTATATTAATCTTAGTAGAAATTATTAAGTATATATTAGTGAATGTAATTAACATTTAAATATACATTAATATATATTTATATTTATTTATCTATTTTAAATAAAAGATTAGAAAACTAGAATTAAAAACATTAAGAATAAAAAAAGTGTTCATGTCGTGAAACTTTAAGACTTTTGTGAAATTAAATTACTTTTTATATAATAAAATTTAATTAAAAAAAAAGTGAATCATAATATGAATTATAGAATAAAAATATAATTATACTAAAAATTAGAATAGAAATTAAGATTGTTATACATTTTATAATTAATCAAATAATTTACTTACCATCTTTACCCTTCTCATGAAGGCTGTTCGCAATATCTTTAGCGTTTATAGTTTCTATAACAGAACTCATGACTAAAAGAGGGATAATCGTGGATCTTACAGAAACTCTTCTACAAGAATGTTACACTCTGAGCAACTCTGTCACGTTCTGAGCGATTTGCGATCTTTCCAGAAAGTCAATGGCTCCGTGGTGTTTATAGAAATAAGAAAAACAAGTCTCTTTTGAAATAAACAAAGATCTTTGATCATAACACACCCATAATTCACGCCGTTCCGCACGACACGTTGTTATACTGTATTAATTAACAACTGATAACTTTCTTTTAAATTTTCCGGAGTACGACGCGATCTGACGGTACTCGGCAGCAAACCGTAAGCTGTTCGATCCCGGTCTCAACTGTACACGCTCCGCTTCATGCACGCGGATTATCTAAACGACTCAATCGTATTATCATCCCACCATGAGTGCAGTATAAACTGATACATATAGCCCGAGGGAATATGTGTACTTTGACTGATAGGTCCTCGGGTGGAAGTATGACGTCGTACATATGTATGTATCTATATCAATTGTTTTTCATGCGTCGCACAAATTTAATTCTAATGACTCATCATTGTTCGAGTTTAGGGAAGTATTACAAAAACGCAACGGAAACACACCTGCTAATAAAAAAAATTATTTCTCTCTTACTGTCTCTGATGATTTAAAGAAATATATTTTTCTTTTAAATTTAGCAACTTTTACAAAACTTGGTCTTTATAATTTTTAAATAGTAAATTTTTAAATTATGTAATTTAAAATATGAACAAAATTGCAAAATTATACCCTACAATTAACTTTGATTAGACTTTTCCTCAATGGAAACTTAATTTGTTGTTCAATTATGCAGAGATACGCGATAACTATAATATGCATGAATATTGCGATAAACGGTTGATCCCCTTTGACATTTGATAAAAACATTTTTGACGTCAAAAACTTTTTTTTTATTATATGATGGTCGCGAAGAAAAACGAAACAATCTTTTTTTAATTACATCTTATTACCATATTTATTTCTCAAATCTTTAGATTTTCTAATATTCTTAACGTTTCTCCTACAATTTCGCTCTTAAATTAATTTGCCATTTCGGATTTCATTGACGTGTCGCAAAACAAACAAGTGCATACGCCAGCAAAAAAAGAAAAACTAATTAGCGCAATAACTGATGATCTTGAATTATTAGTAATTTTTAATATTCTGTCAGTACATTTTATATATATGTATATTATATAAAACTAAATTAAAGAGTCAGTTACTGATAATTCTCATTATTTGAAGCCGAGTTTTAATGAATTAGCTAAATCATTTAAAAAAAAATGCTAAATATATATTGACAATGAGTTACTTAGATGATCCGCACTAATTCTTATGATTTGCTTGACCTTTAAACCTCCTCCGTAATACGATGTGAGTGTATGCGACAAGTGCATGCGCATATTGTGATAAACGATAAAGAACTCTTGATACAGGTCTTTCAAATTTTTTTTTCTACTGTCTTTTTATGATTTTGTCAATCTTAATCAATCTTAGTCAATCAAAATTTTGGCATTCTCTATGAAAAAAATAAGAAAACTTTTCTCTTTAAAAACTTTATTTGTTACATGTGTGGCGAAATCTGCGATTTCTACATATATTTATATAAAAAAATAAAAAGAAAAAGAAAATAGTAGTCTTATTACTTCAAGAATAAATATAAGAGTCTCAAGTATAAGTAAACTAAATCTCCATGGTTATTGACCCGTAAATAATGTAATATATTCAAGGCGATAAAATGTAATTCGCAAATAATTGAAATGCATTTCCAAAACGGACGGAGTTAATCATAAACAATTCGACTTTGTATTTGAATTCTCTTCAGTGCGGAAATCAAGTACAAACTACGTACTTATTACATGCAAATTATATCTTATTGCCTTATAAATATATTACGTAATAATCGCAGAGGCCCATATACAAGCAATTTATTCATATTGTTTTATATATAAAATATTTATATATACATTAATATTAATATCATTAAATAAAATAGTTGAGATGAACTAGAATATATGAGGTTTCTATGATTATAAATATTTATGTTAAATCATTTCTGATTATTGTGTTATCATTTCTGAAATTAATTCAATTAAATGAATATATAATATACGAGTATAGTAGTTCAACATCTTAACATTCAGACCGGAGTGACGCTTCGTATCTAAAATAATGTATTTAACATAAACGGTATTTCCAATATATTGTTTATACAGACTCGCCTGCAATGCGTAATTTTCTATATATATCAGTTATTGTGAAGAATGTTGCTAAGGTCTCGGTAGTCTAAAGGCTTAGAATCCTCGCACGGAATGCAACAGATCCGGGTTCGACTCCCGGTCGAGGCAATATTTTTCTCAATAAGTTTATTATTGTACATACAGTTTTTTAAGATTTGGGAAATTTGGGAGGATTATTAATGTTTCAGATTGATTGCGTTGAAAGTCCGACAACCATATCGGCACGCAAATATTATTTCTGAAATTAATTCATTTAAATGAATATATAATATATTATATAGTAGTTCAACATCTTAACATTCAGACCGGAGTGGCGCTTCGTATCTAAAGTAATTGTAAATGTATTTTAAAAATATTTATGTAAAAAAAATAATTAGAATATTTCTAAACTGCAATAAATGATGTTAGATCGACATGTGAATACATAACTAAATAAAATTATTTTATTCGATTTGAAATGGATCTTAATATATTAGCATCTAATTCTTAATACTTCGGTGTAGGTTTAGAAAAATAAAAAGAAATGATAAATCAAATTAATGATCCTTGTATCAAATAAATGTATCCTTGCATTTAATAAATATTTAGTTAAAACTATTTAAACAAATGATTTATTAAAATTTAATATATTTTTTATTGTATTATTTTTTTATTGTACTAATTGTATTGATTACATGGTTTCTTTTTTAATACATGCTGTATTCAAGTAGAAAGTAAAAAAATGCAATTATTAATTCTGAATTCAGTTTCAGATACCTTCAGTTTCAAATACCAAAAGAATTCTTTCTCTAAAAAGTTCTGAGAAGAATTCTTTTTGCACCTGAAAAAATACAGAATTTATGACATACGACTGAATACTTTTTAAACTCTATGCTATCTGAATATCACTTATAAATATTAATCTGTCAATTATGACTCAATAATTTTAGTCATTATCGAGTGCAATTTTTATAGATCAAGAGTCGTAAGAATTTGAACAATTAACGCGTGAAGAATCGTCTGTTTCTTTCGCTATCAGCAACTTAATTAAGATTATAGATCAATTGGTAAAATTTTGTCAAGAACAGAATTTTCTGCAAGAACGCGTGACGAGCGCGCATTAATTACGTTACCATTAAGTTTAATAGAATAATAATTATATAAAATAATAATATTCAACAGGATAAATTGGATAATCAGATCTTGTGCATAATCGCCGGATAATGAAAGCAATTAAAACAATTGAAATGCGTTTACTGCAATCGATTTTTGCATCGAGCGGTATATACTCTATTATTGTTCTGCCACTGTATGTCATAATATCTTAACAGCGCGAGGAGTGACCTGTGATTCTGATGATGTAAATGCATACGTACACGTACATACTCGACATATGAATATATTAGGTGCTCTAGAATCGAGGACGAATCAATTTTTATATACACGTGTATATGGTATACGAATTTGGGTCGGAACAAAAGTTCGTAGCGCTACGAACTTTAAAATTCAAGCTGACTTTGTTCAAAATGAACGAAATTTAAATTTAAAAAAAGTTTTAAATCTTAAAGGGGATCCTAAACCAATAGGAATTACCGACAATTGCAATTTCTCTGAATTGGCTTTATAGATCATTAATCCTTTTACACAATAAAAGTACGCATGAAAAAAACATCCACACTAAATTGACAAAAAAATTAGGGAAAAAAATTGAAAGTTCACTTTATTTCGGCTCTCATAGCTGTCACTTCAGATTATATTATAATTCCTTTAGTGCAGAAATTCTGTAGGATGTACGTATACTAAATGATACCTTCCCCGGAAGCGTATAACATGCACAAACAGAGTTTCTGAGTTTGCGAAATTGTTATCGAAGACCTAACAGAAAAGATTTTCCAAAATTAAATAGTTGAAAAGGATTTTCGAATCAGTAAAAAGGGAAAAAAGTTATACAAAAATGATTAGCCGATAATACAAACGGCTTTAGGATCCTCTTAAAATCTCTACTTTCAAAAGGTCACTGTCTTTCTGCGAGTTTGGTAATTTTTACATATAGAAAACTACAACCTGAATAAAATAAAAAAATTTTGTTTCGTTTTATAAGCCTGTCATGTGTCCAAAGATTTATAAATATTTTTTGTTTTCTAATATAAAAGCTTAAAATTTTCCCTACACAATTAAAAATTAGATACAGTGAATTGATTCACGATGCATATTATAACAATGGTTCCATTGTCTTTTGATAAAATATTTTATTATTGATAAGATATTTTTCAATAAAATTTGAGTATGTCACATTACTGATCATGTTTAAGAACGTCTGCCTAGCTGCTTTAAGTAATCGCCGATTATATGTAGCGATTATATAAACCAAGCAGCCCTACTTACGTCTTGCTGTCTTAAATTTTTTGTGTGCCATGGCTCTTAGTTAATAAACAGTGTATAATTTTGTTTCCGCTCGATCTTCTTTTGTTAAATGTTAATTAATTATAAACAAATAGACATCAATAACAAATAAATCTTGACTACTTTTTCATTATCATTTTCTAACTTAGTTAACAATTATCTGCGGGTAATTTCGTTTCCATCCCATCTCCTTTTGTTAAATATTAAGTTATAAACAAATGAAGATCGAGGTCGAATAAATCTTGACTACTACTTCTTCATTACCATTTCTTAACTTAGTTAACAAATATCAGTGTATATAATTTCGTTTTCATCCGATCTCATTTTGTTAAATATTAAGATTCCTGACTACTTAGCCAAGAACTCTGCGTTGATGGTGGCGACACAGAATCAGACGGTAGTCTGGTGAAACCGGTAGTCACACACATAAGCACGAGTCCATATCGTGTGCTCGCCTGCGGCGCGCCGAGAGTGAATGAGCACAGCGAGCTCCTTGCACTAATCACTTGTTTCAAACGACCGAAAATGATTTTTCGGCGATATCGGCCGCTTGGCGGCTCTAAGTATCAATAAGGAGCAGGGAACATCTTAATAATATAGAAGTTTAATAAATTGTAGTAATAGTGTATCCCTCCCCTTAATCCAGAATAGTATAAATCATGTTAAAATACTATTCTGGATTAAGGG